ATGAATCAAGATGCTATGACCGAACACATTTGATTGACAGATGACCGTTGATATGTGATTGGCTGAATTTAGGTGTTCAGGCTGACGTAGAACTAACTGGCCTGCAGAAGATAATGAAATAAAAAAATAAAAAAACAGATTTTGAGACAGGATATTTTTTAAAATAGAAATTTTCTACATTTTGGGACAACATCGTCTGATAAAGTTTACATTTATATACATGTTTAAGCCAGAATGATTTGACAATTAAATATGATTTCCCTATGACTAAGTATAAAATCCTTTCCTCTCATTTGGTTTCATTTTTAATAAAACCAAATGGGAGATTCCTTTTTCAACCGTTGCGTATATTAGCTGCGACATATAAATCAAGATGCTATGACCGAAAAAATTGGATTGACAGATAACCGTTGATATATCATTGGCTGAATTTAGATGTTCAGGCTGACGTAGAGCTAACTGGCTTCGGGAGAATTTGGAAATGCAACGTTTGTAACAGCCGCTTCCCTACGACTTTAAGGATCTGCAGGAACCCTCTAGACCAGGAGTCTTCAAAGTTTTCCAGACCAAGGACCCCAAACTGATGGCTAGATGGAGCGGGGAGCCCCTAATTATATATATTGTATGAAAATCAGAATCAGAAATACTTTAATAATCCCAGAGGGAAATTACTTTTGTTACAACCTCCAGTTACAGTTTTATATGATATATACACACATCCAACTATACAATGTAATAAAGATAAAAAATAAGAATAAAAAGAGAATATATACACATATAGCTCCTCTGTATATATATATCTGTACGTATATCTATGCATATGTAAAAGCAAAATCCAAAAAAAGTAAAAATCTAAGTAAACTGATACGTGGCGTGCAAAAATAGTGCATAAATGTCGATTTCCTGTGGCGCTCTGTGGTGCATCTGGGCAGGAGGGGTGGTGTGTTCTATCAAACTGGTCCTATAGTCGCTCTATTACAGATGGAGTAATGTAACTAAAGTAATCCCTCCCTGGGATTATTAAAGTATTTCTGATTCCTGGTTGATGGGACAGGTGTTGTGAATGAAACGGTG